TTCCCAAACCTTGTATAGGTAAAATGAACTAAACCCCTTCTGCTAACACAATAGCTTTTGTTGTCACATATGATCAAGTTCCAAGATCTGTAACTATTTTTCATAAAAAGATTGTTCTACTGCCCAAGTGAATGCATTACGCTACAGTAGCTCTGAATGGTATTGCTTATTTTCTTCAAAGCAACGGCCAGTTGTTTCTTCGGAGACCTTAGATCCTTTTGAGCAAAAAAGTTCTAATTCAACGAGACTGAACTTCGACGATGGATCTTGTTTTAATACACCAAAAAGTACAGCCCCTAGTACACGTTTAGTTGGGTCGGGGGGGGGGGGGGGTCAGATTAGGTCAGAGCGACACTCGGTCTTCCAGCAACACAGTTTGAGAGAGGGAAGCTGGATGGGTGGGAGGGGGGAGGATTAGGGCTGCACCCCTGATGAAATTTGCCCCCGAATTAATTCCACGAGCCCATTTCTGCAGGGGCTCCCGCTCCGTGCAGTCCAAGGGACAAATCTGCTTTCCCTGGTTGAAATGTATCATTAACTGAGAGCAGCCCTCTAAACACGCCCACGGCTCCCAACTTTTCTCTGGGGAAAGGCAAGGCTCCAGCAGCCGCACAGCAGGGTCAGGAAAGGGAAACTTGTCTTGGAGCCTAAACTTAATTCATGGACTTGTTTGACTTAGTGTGTGAAGAACGATTTTGCGCCACTTTACTGTCATGACTGATGTTAAGGGTTGGGACAGAACCTCTAAAAGAATCCGCTTGTGGGACTCCACTTGTGGGAGACCAAAGAGGGACGAGATCAACGCAGTGTCCCCTCTGCAGGAGGAATCGCTGCTGCAGTTTTTAAAGACGATGGGAGGGATTTTGTGAACTCTCTGTTGAAGTAATACTGCCTTGAAAGCTCTAGCAAGATTTATTTGCCCCCAAGATTCAATGCAATAATCTGGAGATAAAAGGTGTCACTTTTAAATGCGCGCCTGCATGCCCTCTTGGTGAAAATCGCTCAGAGGGCATGTGTATAAACAGCACAGAGAGATGCTAGAGTGAAATTTAGGAAACTGGAACTCAGTCGGTGTACTAAAGCTAGCTACCTCTTTTGTTAGATCGCGGGGATCGTGCTAGTAAAGGTTAAAAATGCTACTGGAGTTTGCTTGCAACTCCTCAGTGTTTCTACACCAAAGTTTCTCACAGTGGCTTTTAGATATATGTTAAAAGTCTTAGGGTCGGGAATTATTGTCAGCTTCCTATGGAGGCAAAGTGTTTTACAAAATATTAGCTGGGGGTTAGAAGGAATAGTTCAAATCATTAGGGTTATGACATTCTCCTATTTTCCTATCAAATGCTCTCCCAAAGATGCCCAATTCTGATCAAAGTAGCATTAACATCTAAACTCTGATTTTTTGAGGCTTATTAATGTCATAACTGTAAAAGTCCTTTGGAGAATTTACAGACAAAACATCTGGTTCGTTAAAGCAAAGCTACTGAACTAAGAAAAACAAACTTGGCTGCTGTGTAAATTCAGATACCAAAACAATTTACATTCAAGCAAAGATTTTAGCCCAAAGGAAAACTTTTATTCATGTGTATTCGGAAGGGTTTGGGAATTCACAGACATTTTTAAAGAACTGTGTTCTAATAAAGTTGTGTAGATTTTACCAAATTTCTTTAATCTCGTCTCAGATTTATTATTGCAGTTATAATTATTACTACCAATGCTTTGCTTTTACAGAAATGGAGTATTGTTTTTGATGGTGGAATTTTTTAAAAATCAAACTTGTCAGATAGGTATTAATCTATTATAATTCTGCTGTATATGTTTCTCCTTTGTTCTTAGCCAGTAGAAAACAAGGTACTTTCTGCACACTTTTTACATTTCGATAATGGGTCACAAAGCTTTTAAAATATATGTTCATTCTCTCTTGAAAAACAGAAAACGATGACATATGACAATTGCACTTATTATGTTGTTTGTTTCAAACGAGCTATGAGAACTTTCAAAGTTAACAATAGGCAGTTTAATGCGGCTACTGCAAATAGATCTTTCTGAATACGTGCTTCCAATGTAATAAGTGCATCTTTCACGTTAACCAAGATCTGGAAGAGATAGCTCGATCTTGTTTAGATAGCTTATTACTTCTTTGTGAGCTTCTATAAGATAGCAGCAATTAGTCAAAGATGAGTATACTAAGAACTGAAATAGTCTTATGTTGCTCTTTCACAACAAACTTATTTTCTTCTATCTTCTTTACTTCTTCAAGGTACCTTAGCAAATTTTTCTCTCTCACTCAGCCTCCAGCGATAACAGTGCCTCGGTTCTTTTGCATGGTAAGAACTAGTTCCTAAGATTCCCTATTTATGGTGGTTTTGTGTTTCATTATCTCTGTTCACATATTGATTTACCACTACTTCTAGCCTTTCAAGAGGCCCAAACATTAATGTGAAACTCTTCTTAGATGCTTTAATTCACTGCTAATGACGTTCAACTTGTGAAGACCAGGTCAGTTAGGGTTAGTTCTTTTGCCTTCACTGAAAAGGATGAAGACACCAGAATTAACCAGATATTAGCAAGTTTGGACTGAATGGAAAGTAGCCAAAGAGCAAGCAGGTCACACATCGTGTGTGAACCTCCTGAAAAGCAATCAACCAGTAATAAAAATCAATCTCTGAAAGGAGTTACACCTATACTTAACCCCACACCTCTGCATTCCTTACTTATAATGAACGAGTGGTTAAACAGCAGTACTTTACTTAAAAAAGAAAAAAGGTATAAGGAAATTTTTCTTCATCACTTTAATACACTTTAATATTGATCTTCATTTGTTGTTAACCTCATTAATAGTTAAATTCAGTGGAGTCTTTGTCGGTTCAGTGTCGTACCTGCTTTTTTTTCCCCCTTTTTTTTTTTTAATGTTGGTTTTAACAGGTTGGCTTCTTAGTAAATGTGTTACACTATGCTGCAGGAAAATGAAATGAATGGTGAAAATATACAGCCAAAGAAGGCCATCAAATTGTGGACACTGTTGAACTATAAAACATTCTTAATACATGTGAAGTCCAGAAGGGATGGCTGCCTAATTATGGAACTTTTCTTATAAATCATATGTATCTTGTTTTAAAACTGCCGGTAAAAGCAAGCTTAGGGCTGAGTCTTATGTGCTGAGTCTTTGTGGTTATAGCCTGTACAGTCATCGATTTTATGCATTATGTTTGTAAATGTTACACTTAATAAAATTACGGGTTCTGATCTTCTGTAATAGACTGTGACCCCCAAAAGAAGCTAATGCACTTTACAGAATCTGCATTTTAGTCTGTAATTTGTCTGATGGAGAGTTAAATAGATTTTTTCTTCCTTTAAAAACATTCCAAACAGTTAACACATCAAATTGTTCTACAACTTGCTGGTTGTTTGGGCACTTTATACTATACATACATATTATATGTGGGGAGGGAGGGAGCGAGCGAGCGAGAGTGAGTGTGTTTCTGTTTCTAATTCAATTGGGAAAAGCCCACCAATTACTGTTTACAGAAAGTTTAGCTTCTCACGTTAAAAAGGGCTGATCTCAAAACGGTGCATTATTACTAGATTACTACTCTCATAAATTTTTGTTGACCCTTCTAAAAACAAGATGAATGTTTTAATGTGTAGTTATGGTTTTCTTACAAATGTCTCCCTTAGTGATATCGTTAAACTGCTGTTGCAATCTGTTGGCATCTCCCAAGCATTTATCTATGTATACATGAATGAAAGCTACTCTTTGATATCTACTTGCCACAAAATTAATAATTGCATGCCTGTGTCTATATATATAAACTGCAATAGGAAAAATGTCAGCACATACATGAATCTAGACGAAGTCTATATAGTTGAAGAAAGTAAGGGTAACTGCGAACTTGCAGAATCGCAATGCATAAAAAAACCTTTTAACCCTTTCCCCTTGTATAAGCCTTCTTTGAATCCTTGATCCAGCCTCCAGTGTCCGATGCCATGCACGGTGTAGTGAAAGCAATAAGGTTATATTGGAGTATGCATGTGGTGAAAGACGAGCAGACCTGGGGAAAAAACTCCTTGGATTTGCAGAAAATAATAATTGGCTGGTGTAGAACCTTGCTTAGGAAGCTCTGGAGCTAACTAATAGAAAATCAACATATTTTCTGGCTTGTAACAAGTATCTGCTCCCCCACATCTAGAAATAGTATGTAAATGACTTAAATAATTGTACACATCCTTACTACTTGTATTTTACTGTACTTTTCTAGCATATTTTAATCCATACCTTAAGTAGTTCTCATCTTGATTTTTGTTTAACCAGTAATATAGTCAGTTTTATGTTTCCCTTTAATTCAGCAGTGACTGTGAAAGTTTGTCTTAGCATCTCATGTTCCAAAACTAAGTGAAATACTCCATGCTGTACAGTGTCTATTGCAGAACTTCATCCGTCTAGGCTAGCAGTCTTTTAAAACTGCAGTTTATACATTACTCAATATCTGTGTTTTATTTGATACAGATTTAGCGGTTTCCCCTGAAGAAATCGAGACTGCAGCTGGTCCTGACACGCTGATCCTGTCCATTCCTCCAGTCCCTCTCCACTGCCTTTGGCAATTATGTATCCTTTAGGATTACGCTAAATTATTTAGGTTCTCTATTTCCCAGTTTGTATGTAAAGGGAGAGGAGGGGAAAAAGAAGAATGAGTTATTAATTAAAGCCTAGTCCGTTATGTTTTCCGAGCCTGTCTAACATTTGTAAATACTTGTGCTGCGGCTGATCCCCTCCTTCCTGGTTAAGTTGTTTAGTATGTTAGGTATTTGTATTGAATCACAGTCTATGTTATGTCTGATGTGTTGTCGTTGCAATGTGCAGTCAGAGTGACACTGATGGATACGCCAATGGTTAGACGGACAGATGTTAGGGCGGATCTAACGGCATGCAATGCCATAGCAGCAGGGGGGTTGGGGGGGGGGGGGGGAGAGCGGGCGAGAGAGAGAGACTGGGCTAAAAACATCCCGATTCAGTGAAAGTCGCTTATTTCTGGTGCAAACAAGGCAGCCAGACACACACACACACACACACACATACACACGATTTTTGGAGGGGAGGGGGGCGGGTAACGTTTCAGTTGTAGTCTCTTAAGCAGATCTGATCGTTGCTTCTGTGGTCAGATACTATAACTGTGAGAAGAAACCAGCAAATATCAATGAAATGGAACGGAGAGAATTTGGCAGCACAAGCGGCATTTGACAACTCACCATTTTCTTGTTTGCAAGAAATGTTTCGTTTTCCCCCAACAGTAGCAATTTCCCGGGGACTTTAGGCGATTGCGATATTTTTTTTTTTCATCCTAAAGATCGGCTTTTAAAAAAAATCTAATAATACAAAAAAGCCCCCCCAAAACTTCTCCACCCTTTTATGTAAAGTATTTGAATTTCCTGCAACTTGAAAAGAGAAGCAAGAGCAAAGGAACGTCAAGTCGGCTTTACAAGATGAGAAGACGCAACAACATCTGCACTTAGTAAGGTATTTGGAATTATCCCAGATCTTGAAGAATGGGGGCGAGTGGAGATTTTCTGATCTTACCGTAAAAGTGAGATCATCCTTTTCCCCCTCCCCCTGTGGAAAAAAAAAAGAGAGAGAGAGAGGAGGAAAATTATTTGCTACTGGTGTTTGCTTCACTTCTCTTAAGTAAAGAAGGCATCTTGGGACTCAGACGATTGTCTGTGATTTGCTGTAGCTGTCATTAAATATCTATCAGCCACACAAAGAAAGGAGGGGGGAGAGCCATTGGCAGCCACGAAGGTGTTTGGCAATCGCGTCTGATCCATGTTCGTAAAGCACTTGAAACACCGTTAGAGTCCATCCCCTCTTTTCTGATGTACATTATTGCAACCCAGGAATACACAATCAAACTCGCACCGCATCGATTCGCCAGCGCTCGCTAAACCCAGGATTTCACCAATGAACTTGGACCTCCCCCGCCCCCCGCAAAAAAGTAATCTTCAAAGGAGAGTTTGTGAGTGAGTGTGTGAGTGTGTGTGTGTGTGTGGCGGGAGGGGGGGATTTTTGCAAGCAAGTGCTGCCCAGTCTCCCCAGCGAAGGCGTCTCGGGGCACTGCAAAGATTGAAAGAATAGAAACCTAGGCAGCATCACCATCTCCCCGACCCTCCAGCCGGAGCTACTTCGCGAGACGTGCACAGACAGCGACGGAGAGGTGCAAAGTGGAGTTGCTCGCTGCTTGGGCTCCAGCAAGGTGTGCGCTGTGCAAGCCGGGGCGCTGGAGGTGCGTTTGCTGCGGCAGCAGCAGCCGGCCAGCTCCCCAGACCCGGGGCACGCTGGTAAGTTGGGAAGGAAGGAGGGAGGAGAAGAGGAGGAAGGAAAGGGTGGGTGGGGTTGTTGATGTATTGTATTTTTTCAATGCACCGGGGAGGGAGGATCAAACAATGCTCCAGGCTGCCCGGAAAGGGGGTGGGGGACTTTGTTTAAAAAGAAAAGCAAAAAGATCCCCAAAGCACCACTACGCCCTGAGAGGGTCCGGAGTCGTTCCCCCCGCCCTGCTCAGTGTCACTGCCGGGTAGCTGGGCTGCTTGGGCCGGAGTCACGTCGGGCTGGCTGGCTCCCCTCTCCCCCCCATGACTGATTTGCTGTCACCGTGCAGGGAGCGGTCCTGCCCTGGCACATCAGGCCTTTATGGAGAGAGGGTTCAGGTGCTTAGGTGGGTGGCAGCCGGGGCAGGGGCAGGGGGCAAGTGCACTGGGGCCCCCAGCTCGGGGCTCCCCGACAGCCCCCGGAACTGGGCTGACCTGGGAGCAGAGGGGTCCCAGCGCACACGATGTACCGGGGCCCCACATTTCTCTCGGCGGGCCTGGGGGTGGCTGAGACTTAGGCAGAGACGGGTGGCGTCTTCCTGGGCCGTGGTGGGCAGCTGCGGGGGCAGGAGATGGGTGCCCCTGGCTGCAAGGGGCAGCTATGGCAGCAGGGGAGGAGACGTGAGGGCCTCGGGGAGGCGTGGGGGGGTCCCCTGGTTACACGCTGGGCTGGAGCGAGTCCCCTGGCTGTGGCGGGGGACCCCCGGAAGGTGGGAGGGGGGGTCCCTGGCTACAGGCAGCGTGGATCCCCTTGACGATGGCGGGCAAAGTTGGGAGGGGTCCAGCCTGTGGGCACAACGAGGGCCCCCCCCCCGGCAGTCGGAGGGGGGGAGGGGATCCGGGGGTCCCCCCCGGGTGTTACAGGGGGGAGGGGATCCGGGGTCCCCCCCCACCCCCGGCAGCCTGTCCCTCTGGCGGCGCCTGCGGCGCGCTGCGCAAAGAGTTAAGGCGCGGGCCGGGGGGAGCGCGGTGCCCCGCTCCCGCTCCCGCTCCGCAGACTAGTTGGAGTGACACTGCGATCATCTCGTTTCCCTTCAAGCTTTGCCTGTTGCCGCCGCCGCTGCTCCAGCGCCGAGCCGGGAGCCGGAGCCAGGGGCGCCGCCTGAAGCTCTGCCGACTCCCGCCAGCGACCCCCCCCTTCTTTATGCCGTGATCTCCGCGCCCGGCCAGGCACCGGGCGTGCGGGGCGGGGCGGACGGCGGGCGCTCCCCGGCCCTCCTGCGCGCACCCCTCGTCGGGGGGCTTCCCCGCCGCCGGCCTCTGGGGCGATTTGTCAAACTTCCCCCTCCGCCTGCCCGCCCGCCTGCCTCTCCCTGCGGGCCGCCGCCGCCGCCGCCGCCGCATGCACAGCCGCAACACCCCCCAGCCCGCCCGCCGAGCCTGGGGCCGCTCACCGGATCTCCGGGGCTGAAGCAACTCTGCCCACCCCTGCCCCGAGGCAGCCCACCCCCTCCTGGCACCCGCGGCGGCCGCAGGAGCTCAGCATGCCGAGGAGGAAGCAGCAAGCGCCCCGGCGCGCAGCAGGTACGAGCGCTGCCTTCCCAGGCGGTTTGTTTCTCCCCTCTCCGCCTCTGTCTCTTTCATAACCGCTCTCCGGCGGGCAGAGCGAGTTGGGTTTGCTCTGAGCTCCCAGGGATTGCCCGTTGCACGCCTTGGATTTTGCAGAGTAAACTTGGTCGGGCAGACACATCACTGTGGCTTTTTTTTTCTCCTTTGGGGTTGGGGGGTTGGGCATGATGGTCTTTTTTTCCTACTTTTGGTTTATTCCCAGCGCCCCCAATCCCCTTTCCCCCCCTCCTATTCCTCTGTTTTGGGGACGACACTTTGTGAAAACGAGGGATATAATAGATGTGTATGTTGAAAAGATGTTTGTGGCTATAGGGGTGGAGGAAAAGAGAGGTAAATGTTGCTCATTTCCAATCCCTGCTTTGGCACTCACTTTGATTTTCTCCCCTTCCTTCCCTATACAGTCTCCATCCCCTTCTTTCAATACACTCACAAGCAGTTTGTGAAAGCCATTGATAATTTCTTTGTAAACAGCTAGTGTATGTATGTACTTATGTATGTATGTGTGGTAAGTGGCACAAAGTGATATTACAGGCTTGCAGTGTTACTTGAAGATCAAACCATAGACAAGACTCCTTTATCCAAGTTTATCTTTCTCCCTCTTCTCCCTTGTACTGCACTGGAGACACCTCCACTGGACCAGCAGATCCACCTAGTTGGTCACTTTCTTTGGCAATCTCCTCCCTTAATCCTATTGATTTTTTTTTCATTTATGAGACCAAGCTGGGGAACTGCGAAGGAAACCAATGCAAAGGGTGGTTATCTGATAACTAGCTCTTTTTTTTTCCTTTTAAGAAATTCTTTTCTGGGCTTTTGCCCTTGTGGATTTTGTTCTGTTTCTTTATGCCTTGAATGTCAACTCCTCTTAAACTTGAGTAGCATTTTGTGGAAAAACCATATTTGGGGTGGACGGGTGGAGGAAAACCCAATAAAAACATTATTTTACAATAATGGAGGTATGTGGGGTGGAAAAAGGTTTTCTTGGCCTGTTGCCATCCTTGATTTGATGGCTGATTGATCACCTGTCATCTGGCTGCCTTTGATCTATTCATTCCCAATAAACATCAATAAATCACTTGCCATAGTAACGCCAGACTCAGTGACGTCATATCTGGCCTGTCAACTCTCTGTCAGTGCAACTTCAGGGACTTTTGGTTAGTTTTGTGACATAATCACATGGACATGCATTTTGATATTGATGATCCTTATACTGAATGGGTAGAGATATAGTCTCTCTCTTCATTAGGAAGGGTTAGCTATTTTGGGGACCAATAATTTAAGTGTAGACTGAAGCACTCATGGTGCATTCTTTAGGAGGGACCCATGTATATTCATGAATTGTAGTAGTTTTCCAAGTGGTTTAATTAGTCCATTCAGCATTACCTACTAAAACTTAAATAAAGTAATCTTGCTACTTATGACAGCATTGTCAGAAGAAATGCTTTAAAAAATCTGCCAGTGCACTTAGAAATATGAGAACCTTTCAAAGTGGCATGATTTGAACTTAGTAAGCAGCAAGCAACACAATGAATAACATAAAATATATGGAACTGTATGTACATTTCCTCACCACCTTAAGTATACTTAAGTTTAACATACTTGTTTTGTAATAGAAGAAACTATACTTGTTCACAGTAGATTTTGTAGTCTTAGTCTACAAACTGACATTTGGAAAGTTTGGAACGTTTTAAAGTGCAATAGTAATATACTCTAACAAACATTTTATTTAAATAATACACTTTAATATGTTGAATTTCAGGTTAGTGCCATCAAATAATGACACTTGTAAAATGGATTCAAAACTTTGTCCTTCGACGTAATTTGAAAAGTCTAGGCTGTAAACGTAATTCAGTTTTTGAAGAACTTGGTTTTCAGAAAAGTTGGATATAATCTTCAAAGAGGTGAGCTATAGTTTGGACTTTAAGACTCTAGGAGAATCTTTCTCTGGTGAATTCACACATTTTCAAGTACTCTGTCTTTCTGTTTTTGGTTTAAGTGAACTAGTCATGATGTATGATATATCTTTTACATTTAGTAAAAGTGTAATCTTTACATTTGTAGCTTTTGGGGGTTACCACATAAAACATAAATTATTATGACAATTGCCTCCTGCTAAATGCTGTTTTATTAATCAGACTGGAAATGTTATTTTTTCTATTAGCAGCATAGGCAAAAGTATTTTTTACACTTTTTAAAAACAGCTAAGAAATAGCAGGTTAGTTAAGAAATATTCATTACAAAAACTTGACTGCAGGACTAATAGGAGATGGAAGAATGGTTTTACTCTATCAAAATGACCCGTCAAAACGACTTTGTTTCATATTTGATTTAATTGTCTCTCTCCTGACAGGCACATTCATCAATAGCTTAATGGTCAATCAGAAGTTGGCAGAGTGAGTGCTTTCATTCTTTCCCATACACTAGCTTTGGCTTTACTTTATCAAAATGCCTCTGCCTAATGGATATGGGGGATGTAGAATGACTGAAGGGCTACTTATTTAAGAAGAGTGGGGGGAAAAACACCAAAAACATTTATGCTGTTGATAAGTGCATGAAGATAAATAAGTGTGCTGTGTGAGGGTTTTTTTTATTATGAGGCACAAGAAACTTCTCATTTTTTCCCTTCTTTTTGGCTTCACAGCTGCAAGTTATAAGGTTCATGACTGCTTTTGTGGCATTCTGAAAGTGATGACAAATTGATTGCTTTGTACCGGTGGACCAAAAATAAATAAATTTAAAAAAGGACTGGAAGGATGGGGGGAATTAAAGATGTCTGCTGATTGGTAACTCAGGAAATCCAGTCCCCAGCAACCTTGAGAATACTCTAGATTTTTTTTCTCTCCAAACTGAAAGGTCCGCTCAGCCATAAAAAAAGAAAAGTTGTTTTGCCAGCTTCATTAGTGTTCACCTAATTAGCTGTAAACCTGATGGATTCCTGACAGCTTTAATGATTGGAGATGACAAGCTCCACGCAGTGTCATCCAGCAGAATTAGGTTTGCAGCTAGTTTGATGTAATCAAGTTGATATTACACAGTCCTGGTTGCCTTTAGTTGTGCATTAACTCAATTTTCTGCTGCAGGTGACAAATGGGCTTTGGTACCTGGATAATCATGTCATAGGAATTAGGGCCCTTTTAATGGTCTGGAGTAGAATAACAACAACAAAGAACTCTCAGCAGCACAGAGCTTGCAGACATAACAGACAGGTGCACAAATTCTTTATGTCTAGCCCAAGTGTTAACACCACACTGTAGAAGACTAAAGCTGTCTCTAAGAATCAAGAATCCATAAAAATGAAAATTTCAGTTTGTTTGCTTTAAGACTGATGAATATCATGGATAAATTAGGGGGGAAATGTCAGAGGATCATAGTTTTTAACTACACTTGTTAATGTAAGGGAAAGATCTAAATTACAGTTGCTGTTCCAGTGACTTTTGCCATTTAAGTTAGAAGGGAGAAAAACACTTATTAGTTAAAGGCTACTGTCTAGGAGAAATACTATACTAATGGAGGCCAGTCTGGTTCATGCAAACAATAATTATCTATCTTTAAATTATAGCTTTTTATTATTTTATTATTATTATTATTTTTTACAAACACATCTATTTAAAAGATCAAGACAATGTGGTTATAGTTCTCATTGACTGAAAAGACTTAATACACATTCTGTATACATTCTATTCTCACTCTTTAAAAGGACTGGAAACTGTAATGGTTTGTTGGAAACTCATTTACGTTTTTTTTTATTGAATGAAACAATTACTGGTTTCAGGCCCAGACAATAATGCTGCATTTGAAACCTCTTATAGAACTTGGGGCTGTGATATTTTTTCGACTAAAATGTGTTCCAACCAGTAGAAATAATCCATGCACTTTCTCTGCTCTATTTAGCTCTCTAAACCCAACCTTAGTGTTTACATTCTGAAGAGGCACATACCATCAACATGAACACTTTAATATCACTGATTAATTTTCAAAGGTGCTGAGCATCTCTAATTTCCATTGAATTCAGTGGTGTTTGTGGGTTCTCAGCAGCTTTGAAAATCAGGCCAAAAGTGTATAACAAAAATTCTGTTGAGAGATAACACATAGGTCTTTAGACAAAATTCTAGACATGCAGATATGAGTTCAGGAAGTTGAACGCATTCCGTAATTCATGGGAATTGCTTGAAGCTACATAAATGCCCGGCAACTACATACATACCCCCCAAAGTAAATGTAGTGATAAAGTAGACTACCTATAAAGGTACTTGCAGTGTCAGCCCTTGGTATGTTATTTGCCTCCAAACCTGCCACATATTTTTCTGTTGGACAGAGATTCTTCCTAGCAGCAAGCTGACAAAATGATTAGTTATGGCTGTCCTCTGCTTTTTTTTTTCTGCAAAGTGTGAGGAACAATGCAAAAAGAAAACAGGGCATCAATGTAAAAAGGCCTGATAGATTCCACTGAATATCCTGCTGGAAAACAGAATTTTCGAGAATCAGCTGCCATTGCTCCCATTAGCTTGACAGCTGTCAATTAGGGCTTCAGTGCTCTCCTGGGCCACAGTTTATTGCGTGCGGTTGATGTTGTCATTTTGTTCTCAGTTTTGCCTTGAGCGCTATCGTGAGCAGGAGTGAAATAGTCAATAACTGATGTATCAGCAGTTATTTCTTAAATTGGCTCACAAGTCTGCATTTTTCCTCTTTTTACTAAAGATTGTTTTGTAAAGTGATTAGAATGAATTGTGACTGCTGCAGGGTTATGGGAAATGCAGTGAAGCTAGGGTGAGTTAGCAGAATTAGAGTGGTTCGTTTTTGTCAATGCTGTTTTCAGGATTAGTGTAAACTAGAGTATAGAAAAGATCACCTTCGGGGTATGAAGTGCATAGTAAATTTTAAAGTGTGTTGTATACATGATTACGTATACATGTAGTGATAAATGAGTGAGTGAAAATAAATCATTTACCATAGCATAA